TAACTGGAGGAAGCAAAAACCAAAACAATGCAAATCCTCACACATATTTGGTAAATTGTGGAAAATTATTAGAGCTTGGTTGGGGTGTGATGTCGCATCCCCCATATAGCATTGTCAGATTATCTTTTATTTCGAAGTTTGCAAAATTCTTTGAATGGTATTTTTTTTTCTAATTATGATGACTTGAAATCAGATGGTCATCAGACAAAATGGAAAATATTTAATTGATTAAAGTTCATTCTTTGTTTACAAAAAAAAACCTATAGCACTAGTAGTAATCTTCAAATTATTATAATTAACTTTAATCAATTACTTATTCATGAAGTAAATAAAAGAAGTTTTCGTATTTTAAAAAGTATTGTATCATTTTTAACGAGATTTCCAATAAACAAGAAAGTGTCAGACAATAAAAAATAACAATAACAATAATTATCTACAAATGGAAGGAAGGTTTGAAAATGATGTAAAAATAATTATGATGTTCTTAATGGGAATTTATGTAAATTTTTTGAAAGAAAGCTGTGCGAATATGAAATTGCCATGCAATACTGAATCACTTATTATTTAGATATAAGCAATTGGATAAAAGCGACGTGCGTTATTATTACTTGTCTTCAACTAGTTATAAAGGAAAATGTTGTGTCGTGCTGTTGTAGATAAATTGCTTAATTAAATATAATAGTTCGATGTTTATTAGTATTTCTGTTACATTAAGCAATCGATATTTTACGTATTTGTAAACAGCTGGTCTGTTATTAAACCCGTGGGATTTTTAAGACCTTTCGTAACACGATGATTTATTAATAATCGTAGGAAGTAATTAGATTATGAATAATGTAGAGAATTTGAAAACGTACAATTTCTTTATCGGTTTCCGCAACTTGTTAAATTAATGCACACAATTAATTTGTTTATTGTTTGAACTCAGGAAAGTTTATTGGTGAGAATGATATGTGTGTGCTCGCGCTCGCTTGGGTTTTCTAACCATGGGGATTTAGGGAAATAGTGAAAATTGGTAAAGTTCGTATCGGCAGAGGAGTTTTCGGGCCGCGAAATTTGTAATACGTGTCTGTCGGATGGAAACTCCGTAACTCTTCTAACTATTATCATTATGTGAGTACTTTTCGGGTCACCACGAGTGGCGAGCGTGGTGACAACCATAAGCTCTATTATGTAACTCGCATAATCCATCTATCCTCGGATAGTCGGAATGCAGAAACCATGAATGCGAAACTTTAGCATTTTTTATTTGAGAATTATGGCTTCCTGGACGCATGAGATTTTGCTTCAAGCTTACTGATAATTAATTTTGTCTTAATTAAAAATTGTAAATTTTTGATTGGAAATATGGGCTGTAATGGCCAGTCCCGCAATGAATTTAATTACGTCTGTAAGTAAAATAAAATTGCTGTAAATTTAATGAAGCAGAGCGGAATGGAATTTGAGCAATAATACAATAAAGAAAATCTAAGCTATAAAAACCATTCTAATAAATGTTTTCAGTAAGACAAACAAACTTTTAAGGTTGAAGGTTGTTTCTTTTTTCTTTTAAGCAAAAGTTTTAAATTACATTAAACTTTTATTTATGATTTTCATCGATACGTTATTTCAGTGTTTATTGAGGTGCGAAATGGAAGTTTTTTTTTATACCATTTTGATGAAATGATGATTGGCACAGATATGTTTATGGATATTCCATCGTTTTTACGTGCGTGTCACTCTGAATGAGGCTGTGAATCCTTCAGCTCTCACGCACATTCAATTGGAACTACATGGCAGAAAAGAGCGTGTTAAATCTTCATTATCTCAGCAGCGTAGGTATGCAAAAAAAAAGGACACTGCGGTCGTCCAGTGAGGAGGACCTCATTTGCATGCTCAATTAGGGCTGAAACCCCCATCACACACATCCGCACAAAAAGGGACTAAATTTTCATTAGATGTTCGTAATTACAATTTACATTGCATAAGAGTGGAGATTTTTAAAGTTGAAATTCTGGAAGTTTTTGATGGACATTAAGTGCTCGCTTGTTATTAATTAAGTAAATAGTTGCGGGGCTCGTAAATCCTCATGGGTTGATGTCTGGCGCGTTTCCTTCTTGCGCTCTCGAATGGAGGCGGCGAGGATAGCACAACAACCACCCCCGACCAGCTTCATGTTGGGAAATTTGGGGTATTCGTGGCGCAGTTTTGCAATGTTTATGAATATTAAACTGGTACGAAGTATTTCAGCAGTCGGATACGATTTCAGGGGCGACCGAGGGGCGAGTATTTTGTTTATAACGGCCGTTATTAAAGGCTGCCTGAGGGTGTGGGGCGGGGTACGCGCGCGCAATTCTCCCCAAAACTAATTTATATTTTGCCCTCACCGAATTCTCTCTTCGCTACATCGCAATTTTTGAGCTCGGTCCGACGGTTAAGTTTTAATATATATCATCCCGCCCTGCAACTGAAGCCTTCGCGCCGCGCTTACACATGGATATTGTGTTTTATTCATGTACATATCACTCAACGAATATTTATTACCCTTAAAAAATAACGCCCGAAGAAGACGCAACAACAAAAGAACGAAAAAAAAACTTCAGAGTATTATTGCCTAAAAGAAAGCCTCACTTGTTACACACAAATAATATTATACACTATGTAAATTTTCACGTATTCCGCTTGTACTATAAACTGCCTAAAAGGATTATGCTCTAAACACATTTATAACATAACACGGACTAATAATAGATACCTTTAGTATGCACTTAAACTATTGCAGCTTATAAATGCTTATAAAAAGTTGTATCATCAATTCCGATATGCATATGGTTTTTCAATACAATTGTAATAGTATATATAAAATAATAAATACATTCTAAATAATGAGATGTTAGAAATCTATGAATTTGTGAGTTATACCTTCCCTTGCACATAAAACATAAATGTTTTCAGAAATTTTCAGCTTACACTCAATTCTTTGTCGTTGATTAAATTGACATTCTAATACTGATAGAATACAGTTAGCAACAAAGTAATTAAGTCAAGGACATTCAAACGCTAAAGCGCTATTAGCAAATTCATATGGGATTAATAAAAGAACTATCTCCGAGTAGCAGGAATATGAAATTCTGCCGTCCCTTCTTCAATTCCGTATATCTGCAGGATAACATCGTATCATCATCCTAAAGGCATACATCAGAAAACTATTCCGGAAATACATATATAACGAATCCATTAGCGCGCGCAAAACTGCTGCTTCCTATTTCCACGTCGAAAGTTATTAAGTTGTTGGCGAGTTTCTTACACATAAATGAATATAATGTATCGAATTTAACCGCGTAATTTGTAATCTCGGTTTAAATTCTAATGGGATTTGCTTATTCTTTTCAATTCAAATACCGAACAAATAAATGAAAACAAAAGTAACTACTGATTAATTAACGTAAATTTCAAAATATTTATAATGTTCGAATTTAACATGGCTAATAATTATTTCTTAATATAATTTATAGCAAAATTATTATATTGGGTCGGCAAGAATTTATTACTTTAGTGTGAAATAAAATTATTTTGTATACAGAGAATTGACGAGTACTAGACATTTAAGTGATTTTTCAGTTGTTGTGTGTGATACATTTAACTTCTCTGTAATCTCTTATTTTTTGTCTCGTTTTTTTTTAATCCCTTTAATTGTACTTTGTAAAGAACTGTAATCGAATGTTTTTCAGTTGCAAACTTTAGATGTATTAATGTTTTTTGTTCATTGTGTTTTGTTGTTTACTTGATAGGCTTTCGGATTGCTGCGAAGTCCGAACAAAAAAACTTTTTCACACCTTCACGGTGTGAATATTAAAAAAAAAAACAATTAACAGAAAAAAAGGACGGTGCCAGGAGGCAGAAAAAAAAACAAAAAATGAGAAAGCAGCAGCAAAAGAATGGACGGAGAAGGAAAGAAAAATGAAGGCGGCTTCAGCGAAATGGAAGAGCCGCTAATTAATTATAACAGTTTCGTTTAAGTTGTTCGCATTTTTACGTTCTCTCGGACACAGAGCGAGATGAGCGTAAAAAGTTTTCATAATCACTTGATTAGAGTAAATCTCTCCCTCTGCTCAGAAATAATTATAATAATAATTTATATAAAATGGGCCGTATACGAATCCATTTTTATATGTATTTTTTTTTAGTGTCAAATAAAAAGAAATTTGAATTTAAGATTAATTGTTTATTTATTATTTTGTAGATTTTGAAAGACAAATGAAGTATTGTTAAAGAAGCAAGTAGTTAACTGGAGAACTGCAATGTGTATGAGTATGGTGTATTCTGGAATGTTATATGCACCACTTGCTTGTAATTTAATTGGTATTGGTTAAGTTGACCGAATTGCAACATATTGATTTGGGTATACAGGCATGTATGTACATCATGTATATCCGTTCAACGTACACAAATAACAATTTAAAAAAAAAATAAATTTGTATTAGCATATACAAAAATAAATAAAAACACGAATTATATTATGAATAATATAATTAATTATATTTAGAAAAGTTGAATGTGATTTTGTTTATTTGTAATTTGATGCTGTTGTCTTTGAAGTTTGCCGGTTAAAGAAGATATAATCGGTGTAAGTTTGAATGAACTGGCGGAGGACAATAAGAGGACGCGCATGTTGGAATGAATGAGATTCTATTTCCGATCGTCCCGTGAGGATGCAACTGAGAGTGGCGAGAAGATATACTATGAATGCAGGTTGAACGACTTCCTAACAGCTGAGCGTTTCATTAAATTATGTTTATGTCCACCGCTAAGTATATACAAACAAACTTTAAAATTAGAGACGACAGTAAAATCAAAGAAACGCTGCGATAAAACTACTTAATTCATTATATTTGAAATTCGAGTTCTGAGCGGCTCGCATTCAACTAATGGAGCGGATTTATGGTGCCCTATTTATAACCATTCACTGATTTCTCACTATGTTGTTAAATCTTTCATTTATGTTTGTTTTTCATTTTCAGTTCCGGTATGATACGCTGCGAAATTACGGAGCATTAACGGAAGCAATGATGGTTCGGTGGACGTTTCCGGTCGTCCTACTGCTGATCATCAATCTAGTGGTCATCACATCGTTTCCTCATGCAGGTATACACACCAATCATTCACAGTTGTTTATTGCGCCCACTGCGATGCATGCCGAATGTCCTCCCCTTTTGTCTTCTATATATTCCGAGGACCACACACAAATCCAGTTCACGAAGGCCTCGCAACCCATTCACCGCTTTTAAAATTTTAATGACAGCTATGACAGGTGTACGTGCGTCTGATGTGAGTTAGTATCTATAAAAAGCTAAGAGTGGTATTATCCTCTGTAGTAATGAGAAGCGTCGCGGCGCCTAAATCAAAGGTATAACGAACCGAACGAATTTATATATTTGCATCTAAAACATTCATCCTGGAAGAGATACGAAATAAATATAAATATATGTGCATACACTTTCAAATGTATCGTAAATTTTCTCCAAAAGCATTCGAGATCTACCAGATATGTGAGGAATGTTATTTTTAAGTACCATATATCATAATTCCAGTTCACAAGGCCGACTAATTTGACATATTGTTTTGACGTTGTATTCATACTCGATCATCCATCTTGTTAAGCACACAGCGACTTCGTATTTATTAATACCGCGATGCATTTTTCGTTGGTCAAATATAAATAACAACTACTTGATTAATTATTATATACTTCATCTAAGTAAAATATTGTAAAATATTAAAATTTGAGTAATATTTCTACAAATTAATTACAATGAAATTATTGAAATAATTTGATATTATTAAATAAATGCTAAATTTTAATGATAGTGATTATTTATTGAAACAGTTGAAACATACATAACCTCAGCCAACCTGTAATGAATGGCAATGATTCATGTGATTTTTTATGCACATAAATAAGAACAAAAATTTGAAAATAATTGTTGTATATTAAATATTAATACACATTATATTTTTTCGACAATGGATCAGTCCGTATTCACTATAGTCCGGTTTGAAAATGTCAAAACAAACAAACAAATGAAATGAGCGAAATAAACCAAAACATATTTTTTATTTTTAACAATTTAATGTATACAATGTTAGTGATTTTCCCGGAATCTATAATAGATTAAATGTATCTAAAAGATGCATATGTTTCTAAAAGATTTCATCTATTTGGTTGTGATTCGTGATCAAAGTTAAATGAAAAATTAACGTTTGAAAAAGCAGTGTTTTTACATTTTAGTCATTTTCTCGAAAAGTATAATAAATCGAATGGATCCAAAAAACGTAAATGAAAACTGGATGTTTGGAGAATGTAGCAAGTATTCACATATAGTTTTATCCATTAGGCTTTAATTCGCATTCGCAGACGTAGTTTGGAAACCGCTTTTTTAAAGAAAAAAAAACAATTTGCATTTTTAAGTAGTAGTGATTACTTTTATGTAGAAAATCAAAAAAGAACAAGTTGGTCACCCTCCAACATATTATTTAATTAAAGCCTGTAAGACGTTTAAAAATAATGCAAAAGTAATTTGTTCGAATGAAATCCGAATAGCTTTTTTTTTCCTTTACCTCATCCATTGACAATATTGGGTCGAAGCGTTTCCGTTTTCCGGCCACGTCCCAGCGAATTCGTATCTCTAGCAATTTTATTATCTTATTTAAAGGTACGACGTTATGTGTATATGTCTGTATGGGTGTGTGCATAAAAAAAAGGTTGACATATAGGCGTCACGTGCTGTGGCTGGTTTTCCCCCGAGGATCCACAGATGTCTTATGACAAACGATAGCATAGTTGTTATTCATGCATTCGGGGGCCAATAAAACGTGAGTCTTGGCACACTCCCCCCCACCAGTGGAAAGATAGAAACAAGGAATGAAATAAAATAAAGAAAGAAGGGACAAACAGAATCTTTGAATATTCCGTTGTTTTGGTTTTCATGGTCGTTGAACGAGGTTTCTGCTTTGCTTTGCACGGAATAAAATAAATTGTCTGCTTTGTGTATCTTTTTCATGCGCGGCTTGTGCGGGCTTAAAATTATTATTTATACCAGGAGCAGTAGCAGCGCACCGCACCGCTCCGGAGGCTCTCGCAGGACTCCGATATAATTGCATATTAAAATACATCCCGACATCTTATTCCATTACGCTAACTAACAAAGTGAATAACAATAAAAATAAAAGTTTAACATTTAAGGCGCGAGCGGCGCTCTTCTGCACCATTTATTATCAGCGAAACCTTCTCCCACCGGTTGCCGCCATCCCTTTTCCATTCCCTTTTCTTTCCAAATGGAATTGTAATGATAATAACAAAGGAAAAAATCTCGCCGAATATTTATGAGCCCTTCGCCTAATGAAACGGAAATAATACCCACGATTTGTGTGCATTTTCTCTCACACACACACATACATACCACGTCGTAAACACTTTACCAATATTTGTCCGAGGGCGACAAAAGGAAAACATAATTGAATGGAAATTCGTTCGCCATTCATCACCGCATCATATTTTTTCAGACGCTTAAACCTGGTCCATATAAATATTGGATCAACAGAATTACGGGGAGAACAAAAATAAAATATAAAAAAAAATATTCAACCCCCTATTCATAGAAAACAATGTTTGTATTAATATGTTCTTTCATTGTTTTCCGGATGCATACGGTTTAAAAAAGTTTTTTTTATAAATATGAAAAATATTTATCAAATGATGAAGCCTGTATTCAGTGCCGCAGTGATGGGGTGGCAAAGAGGGCGACAGCCACAGGCGCATCAAATGTTGGGGCACCGAAGTTATACATAATAGTATTGTTTTCTTGATAGTTTTCAAATGAAATATTTGGCCTAATCAAATCTTCGAGTAGTTTTTCCTTTGTTACTTTTTTATTAAATTGAAATATAAAATGAAATTTACGTCTTTTTCTATTTTCATATCGTTATATGAAACATATTTATAATGCACCGTTCGAATGATGATGTTGCTTGTTAAAACTCATGACAGATTTCTATATAATGAAGATTGTGTTAAAAAAAATATGTCCTAAGATTTGATAAATATATCGTTTAAATATATTATTTATTTCAATTTTGTATAATTCTCCAACTTTAATAATTATTGATATTTTTTTAAATTTGAATGAAGATGATTATTATATTAAATAAAAGAAATAAAAATGTGTTAATAATATTTTACTTGTAAATAGTAAGCATATTATAGATGTTATAAAATAGGGAATATAATTAACTGAAGGAAAATAAGAGATTTGATTAACCTACATCTGTATTGTATAGCGTTCTTGATTTAAAAAAATAATATTGAAACGAGGCAATAAGCTGCGTTTGACATTTTTAATAAAGCGAAATTAATATGTATACATCGTTCAGGATTAATTTCAAAATATTTTACCGAAGAAAAAGCATTTTTCTTGATTATTTCACGCTATTTTCATATTCAGCCTTGTTTATTTAAACGCAAACAATTTTTGATTAATTAATATAACGGTTGGAAATTTATGAATCCATCTCGATGTTCAATATTACATTCAATATTACATTATCTACAATAATTAATTTGAAATCATCCACAGCTATTGTTTAATAAAACTCTCAACTCTATTCGCATTATTTGCTTTCATATTTAATGAAATTTGCTTATAATAATTAATGTTGAAAAATTGTGCATTTATATTATTGTAAAATATATTAATTCATTTGTAATATTCAATAATTAATAATATTAATTTGGCTTCAATTAGCAATAAATATAAAATAAGTTAAAGCCTCCTGTACTAAAATGTTGGTGATGTTGAAATAATAATTATTATATTGTTTAAGATTCTTTGTATTTGCTTCAGTTTTCTAATGTATTTTATACATGATTCTTTATTATAAAGGTTTAAATAAGTAATCCAGGTTCTCCTCAAAAAACAATACTATTCCTTGCGCCCATACGATTGATGCGCCTTGGGGCCGTCTCCCCCTTGTTACGGCTCTGAAGCAATCTTATAAGCCGGTGTTATATGTACCGGTGTTTAAATGAGTTTATTTTTTTTGCTAATAGATACATACATATGTATTATATCAAGCAATATCAGATGCGTCTATCAATATACATCATAATACTCATTAGGTGTTGTTTTTTAAATTAGTATTACAATACTATTATGAACTACACTATTAATGAACCGGATGGAGAGAGTTTACGAATATTAACAATGGAATCAGACAAAGACTTTAGAAATGAACAATATTTATATTATGGAGGATTAATAAATACGAAAGCAAGATAGATGCAATAAGTAATTATAACAACAATTATTGGTGAATTGTATTTTTTAAATATAAATTGAGTATTTTTGTATTGATTTATTTATGGTCTGAACTAGGTTATATTTAATGCGAGGAGTATTTGATTGATCACGGAATGAATAAAATAATATCGAATTCCGTTAGAAGAAGTATTTATACAATGGCAAAGTGGTTCTGAAGAAGACGACGTAGATTGTTCGGCGTTTAAGTGGCAATCTCGCGTCACCCAGGAATTGGGATAAAAACTGAAAGTTGTTTATTAAAAAAGTTACAAATCAATTTGCCTTCCCCCAAACTTATCACACACATACATACTTTAGCGATTTCTTTTCCATTTTTTTTATGCTTAATCTTTTAAATTTCTCACTAATAAAAGCAAGATGGTGCAGGATTGGGAAAAGGGAGGTTTTGAAACGAACCGGTGTTTAATTTAATGGCAGGAATCCGGATTAATTGGAGGACGATCATTCCTGTACGTGATTCTATCAGGAGTTTAAGAGGATTCCGCTTGTACGTGATTATTACATTAGGCGAATACTGTTTTTAATTAATTAAATTATACACAAATAACCTCTACTTTTTTTGCTCACGAAAGTTAATTGATTGCATAATGCGTAAATAATTGAGTGTTTAGGGGGTGCTCTCATTTTCGGCGGCATGGCATAGATTCTTCTTGCAGATTACGTATTAAAAATGGTTTAGATCTTAGCGTGCGATTGGGGTGAACATAATTCTGGACATCGAGGATATGATTTATGGGAATGATTACACCTTGGCAAAGCCATTAATTCATGTTCGTTCGCGATCCTGATGGTTTGGGTTCTATACTTACATAATTATCAATTAATTTTTATTAAGCGTGTTCAATGTACGTAATCATATGGCAGTTAAAACACTGATCAAATTTTATCCACAACTTATAATTTAATTATTATTTAATTGTAACAAAAAATACTATGTTTACACTTTGCACACAAAATTTAATTGGCTAACTGCATTCGTATAACTAATGAATTTAAATCTGTAACGCTTTCGGCTATTTGAACAGCATTGAATGTTGCCCATTAATTTGGTGCAATAGGGTACAACCACATAAAACTATACTATTGATTTATTCATAGCCGCCATTGAAATAAAACAAAGCCCTAATTGCAACTTTTAATCTATATTTTATTAATTGAAAAATGTTCAAATTAAAATATTTTTTAAATGGAATAATTAATTAACTTCAGAATAATTAAAATGTGAGGTTATTAATTTATATAATATCTATATTTGGATAATTGAATTTTAAGTAATCAATTATAGAAATCATAATATGTAATTATTCAAATTAAAATTATTTCATCTTCCTCGGGATTTTTAAAACAGATAATGAAAGAATAAAGGAACTGCAACATATACTAAAAAAAATACGAATTCATGTATGAAACTAAATTAATCAATGGAAAAAGAAGACATGTATGTAAAAACAAACAACAAAGCAAATGATGAACTGATGGTGATAATTAGCGCTGCCTTTACACAAAGAGCAATGGATTCAATTATAGCCGTAATTATAAGAGATACAACTGCACATGCTATGAAGTAAATACGATTTCAATGTGTCGCCTTGCGGATCATCGGTTATTATAAAATGTATATATAATATGTATATTATAATGTATAGCAAAGAAGTTTAGAAGACCAGAGCATAAATATTCATAGCAAAAATAAAAATAATAAAAAGGGTCAATTGAAGTTCTCCAATAGATATATATATGTAGAATATTTCCGAAAATAGAAACATTGATATTGCCTGTAACATAAAAGATAATCATTGTATTAAATATACATAGTGTATTCATTCTGGCGCGATAGGACTTCCAAAAATACTTATATACAGCGAAAATGAGTTTACAACAAATTGATTGATTTAATACAACTAAAATGTTGTTTGCAGTTATTCCCTATAGTATTAAGTTTTTGGTAAACTTTGGAAGTCGTGGTTCGTTTCTAACATGTTCCTCCAAATTAGATGTGGGCATTAATGATGCACCATTAATTTTAAAGTCAAGAGGCGTCGCTGAATTTAGGTTTGTGCATTTTGTTATTTCTTTGTTTGTTGGTTTTGCAGATAACGAAGGACCCGGAGGCGGCAGGGTGGAAAGGAGCTACAAGCAACACTCGACCGGCCACCAACAGACTTTGGGTCGCTCCGGCTTCTTCGCTACGGAGAACTCAACAGTTGTCGTGGCCCAAATTGGTGGCACTGCGGCCCTACCCTGCGTCGTTAGGAAATTCAACAACGGCGTCGTGAGTTGTTCAAGCGTCGATTTTATTGCTTTAGTTTCGTCCTTCGATTTTCCACTCTTCTACCTCCTTTTCTTGTGTACTCTTTCCTCGCCCAGGAACCCTGCTGAATTTGTAACGCGCTCGCAGATTCATCAATGCCAAAATGACCAGAGAATACCCTCCGCCCATGCAGCTTCTACCCTGTTTACACACTGAAACTTTCCCAAGAGCTTCACTTGACATTTCCGAAACTCTCAATTTGTACTCTTCGGTTCTGCCTTTTAATCAAATTCAAACCGCGGAAGGACGATTCTTGGTAAAAAGAAACACACAAAAACCGATTTCTAAAATAACTTGACTTATATTTTATGAATTGATTTTTTTATTACGTTTATTAATATTAAGAATAGGGCTTAATTCCTTCCTAATTTTCTGTATAACAATATAAAATAATTAATTCATAGTAATATATGCACAAAAACCGGGGTTTTTAGTTGAAAAAAAAAAGTTATTATATAAAGTTATTTAAAAAAACGTTTTTTTTTTTAATTCGACAAACCCTACGTGTTACTACTGTGATTGATATACAAATATTAAATTAAAAGCAAAAAAATTAGTTTTCAGTCTAATAAATCATTTCTGCGAAAAACAAATTCAATTTATGTCCATAGTGTTGCGCAACATTAACCGCAACAAAAACATGAAATAAACCTGATTATGAACCCTCTGGAGAGTTTTTGCACGTTCCGCCTTTTGAGCACGAACCTGTAAAAAGCGAAGTTTAGTATATAATTTATTATATAATTTAATTTAAAGTGAGATATAAAAAAATATTTTATTATTACGAAAAGAGGAAAGTTTTATAGAAGAGTAATTACTTTCACCTTTACATCGCTAATATCCATTTTTATTTTCATCACAAAAATATTTATTACGAAGCAAAGTTATATTTAATAATAATAATAATATAAGAAATATAATATAGCAATATTATTTCTGGATGTAGTTGAGTTACAATTGGATAATAATTTAATGTAATAAATATTTTATTATTGTCGATTCATTTAATATTTCAAATTGTTAGTAATTTCATTAAAGAAAATATTATAATTTACTCAAATAAAGTTTGAATGCATCAATTAGGAGTTTATTTTATATTAATTTTATAATTATTTAAAACTAATTAAAAAAAAAAACATAATAAATATCTTTACATTATTTTTATTACATTTATAGTTTCTAATCTTTCGATATTTAATATGAGAATTTAATAGTTAATTAAAAAAAAAATGTTTGTCTGGTACTACTTTTTTATGTAAATAAACCGCGGATGTAAAAAGGGTTGAGAGGAGTTTTTCTTCTAGTCCATGGGTCGGCAACCAGCGGCTCCAGAGCGGTTCCTTGAATGATATATTTCGGACTTGAGTGTTGTCTATGTTGTATAATTAATTTCAGGCAATATCTTGAAAATGGCACTTTGCTCCATAAAGGTTACCGACCCTTGTTCTAATCTATTAAAATATAAGTTGGTGAGGTTGATTAATTAATATACATCGAAAGCGGCTATTGACCGCAGTCTTCCGCTCTGGTTATTTGAATAATTACTAATCAACGTCAATTAACATCCTTAGATTTTTTCGATTTTAATTTGCAGGTATCTTGGATTCGGAGGGAAGAACAGCCCAAACTATTGACCGTTGGTCTTATCACATACAGCGCCGATGGAAGAATTTTCGTGGAACATGTGAGGCATTTACAGAATTGGGGTTTGATCATAAAACCGGTCCAATTGGCGGATTCGGGTCTCTACGAATGCCAGATATCGACGCATCCTGTTACGAGCATCTTCATGGAGTTGAAAGTCATAGGTTACCCAGTATTTCATTATTATCATCATTTTCCAGCGATCATCGCCAGTTTATTATGACATAACATCCGATATGATTTTTTTCAGAGGCTTCTGCTGCAATTTTGGGCGGGCCCGACGTGCATCTTCGAGCCGGGTCACTTCTGCGTCTCGTCTGCAGATTGCACCAATCAACGGAACAGCCCTCTTATGTATTTTGGTATCACGAGGACAGAATGATAAATTACGACCTCGGGGTTGAAGTCATCCCCAATCGAGATTCGAGTATTCTTCTTCTCCAAGACGCGGACAAGTCCCATGCCGGCAATTACACCTGCCACCCGTCGAACGCCATTCCGGCCTCGATTAACGTCCACGTCTTAAACGCGACCGAAGGTAATGACGATTTAACTGATTTTTTCCCCAAGGATTTTTAATTCCTTTACGGACGTCTGTTATTTAGAGGAAAACCCTGCAGCCATGCTTCATGCAAATTGCTGCTGCCCTTCGACTTCGGTCTACGTAACTACCTTAATTGGACTGCTCGTGAACTTCCTTTTGCAAACAAGGAGAATATAAAGGGATACAGTTAATTGCAAATTGTAAATATATATTGTAAATATTGTGCATATACATTTTCGTATTTGTCTACGAACGGAGAATGACACTAACACATAGTATTTCAATTTCCTCGTTCGTGGAAATTATGAATTATACTTTTGATTTTATTGTTTTCCAGATTCTTAAAGGATATTAGATTGTAATTCCATTAAGCTGCGAGTCTTTTAATTGGAAATCTTTACCTTCGCCAAACTGTGTATATTATATATGCTTCAATATTCAATCAAAAATAGATATATAATAAATGTAATATAAACAAGACAAATCCTTTTGTTTTTTATATCCAATTATAATACATTAGTTTATATTTAAATAAATGTGTAAATAAATTACATTACAATAAGCACACAATCATAATTAATTAAATATTTAGAAATTTGTATAAGTACTTGACTATACTTGATACAAAAATACAATATTTCAAGCATATTCACATGTTTTAAGAGAAACATCCAAAGTAATCATTGTTCAATTAAACAAACTGAATTTATTGATCTATCTTTTAACCGTTTTACGCATTTGTATAATGTGTCTACATTTTGCGCATTATTAGCTGCAATGTTTTATTTTTTCTTCAATCTAATCAATTATATTTATTATTAAATTCATATTTAACGGAGTTTCTCAGACGACACGCGAGTAATGATGCTACAAAATTTCGCACGATTAACGAAGGGTTAAAATTGTTATATGAAAGGTAAGTGATATTAGATTTACTTTGATGTTAATATCTAATACTATTACTTCCAAGTACGAGAGTAACATTGTTTAGTAAATTAATATATATTTTCTGAAAGTCATTTCCTCATAAGCGTTATATCTGAGGTTATGAGAGATAATTCAGTAAAACCAGTTTATATTTTTTATATAGTGTATAATTTAAATGTTAAATAGCACGCAATGCAAATTACTTACGTAAACATACGTGATGAGCAATGATTAGTAAATAGATTTGCAAATAAAATAAACTTGAATTGGAGCGTATTTTTTCCCCATCCTATAAGCTTTGAATACACGCAACTAACTAAAGACCATTCAAATTATAATTTATAAACCTCCGTTCTCGCTAGACTACAAAGCTGAAATAAGAATAATTCTAATATACAACCAAAATGCAAATAAAAAGAATGAGCAAGAGAAAGATGGAAACAACGCAGCGATTCAATTATAGAACTGTGAGGGTGGAACCGCGCTCTTGTCGTGTATTTGAATATTAACACAGGCTATGTCTGTATGTACCCTTTTTTGTACTGAATATTGCACAGCTGTAATAATAAAACGAACTTCAAACATCTCATTAGCATCGTAGACGTACTGCTAAAATAAATAAAATTTAGTTTTTTTTTTGAAATTCATAAAACCAAAAATAATATTTATTAGTTATACTGAAATATTAACCAGTGTAACAATAAGTACTGCAATATTAATTATTTTTAATTTCTAATACAACATTCAGGTTTCTGTATCAATCAATAAACGTTGATGTAGTTTCATACTTGTTTCTTATTATATATTTGGAATTAATTATTATATGATATTTATGAGTATAATAATACTAATTGTAATGTATTTCTGTAACCAGCGTTATATGTTTCATCGAAAGTCTGAGATTTTAATTCGCAATATTTTTCATTTTGTGGATGTGCCGGGTCAAGGCTTTTCAGCGGTCGGCAATAATTCTAGGATGAAGCCGCAAAATGGCCCACCAGTGACTAATACAAATAGATACAAACTTCCATTCTCTATATTACCGAGAAACACCAAGCAAATATATTATTATCGAGCGAAAATAAGCATCATTGAAATGAATGCGCGTAATAATACGGTACGAATTGTTTCGAATTTTGTTGCTGTTTTCACATAAATATCGCATCGACTGTAATTTCAGCACAGTATTTATATTGTTTTCGAAAATTCAATCGCATTCATTTGGTTTAAACAGTAGTTCAAGTAATTCTGTATGAATAATTCACGTGTTTAATTAATTGTTTGATTCTATTCAATTAAAACGTTTTTTTATACTAGACCATTTTCTATTTGCTATCATAATGCGGTTTGAATTTTAATAAATTTACTTTATTACACATATTTAATTAGTGTAATGATATGATGATTCTATCTCTAATTTAACAAACCACATGTATATATTTTATTGTCCAAATACCTCATTAAAATTGGATTAAAATGCTATTGAACTGCAGAAAACATTTGAAAATCAGTTTATAGAACTAATTAGTCTCTGATATAAAGAGAGAACATAAAAGATAAAGAAATATCAAAGGAAAAAAAATGTATGAAAAGGTTTTATTTTATTAAATAATTATGGCTCGTTTGTGCACTCATTTCCGTCCATTATTATGGCATTTCACTCTAGCCCTTGTGGATTTTTGTATTGATAAGTGTTTGATAACCTGTTCCTAAAGAGACTATAACAAATAATGCACGAAAAGAGACTTATACCACATCACCAGTTTGGATTTCGTAGAGAGCACTGCACAATAGAACGTGTTAATCGATTAGTTAATGTTATCGCCAGGATACTAAAGAGAAGAGTTACTGGACAACTATATTCCTTGATGTGTCACAGGCTTTCGTAAAAGTTTGGCATACAAGCTAAAAATGAAACTTACGCATAATTTCTATGAAGTCTTGAAATCATACCAAATGATAGAAAGGTTTTATTTTTATCAAATTTGAAAAAATACAAATTAAGTCCCACCAAATCGGGTATTGCACTGGGTTTAATGTTATATCTCCTATATACTGTAGATATATACAAACAATAGACAAAACAAGTATGGCAACATTTGCAAACAGTGGAAGATTTCTCAAAAAATACACGAACAGTTTTGACTTAAAAATAATTATATAGAAACGTATATAAATCTGTAATAATATATTTTTATTATTATTTCCCATAATGAAAAGGCGTTGAAATTTCATTGAGTATTGGTGCAGTAATACGTTCGATAATTAAAAGGTATATATCTATATGCATCTATATTAATCATGATGATATTAATTAAACTCGTCATGATCATTAAAGCGAAATTGCATGCCTATGCGCAACATGATTATATAAATATTATTCAGGCGATACCTAATCATCCCTGCATAAGCGAATGCCGGATATGCACTTTTGAGTCATTAGAATTACAAATTCATGTGTTCATCTGCGCTTTCAGCGTCGGACCAATCGATGTTTACATTTAATAATAAATACGTTTGAATATTATGCAATAATTTCAATTCGATTAATAACTTGGCTCGCTGAAACCACATCATTTCAGACATTATACCATTATTTCTATGTCGTGTATGCATTAAACAATTTCTAATTTGCTTCAACTAATCGTAAAGTTTTGTAATTTCTTGCATTATTTTACATTATTGTGTTTAATTTTATCAAAGGTTTTGAATCTTTGTTCATGCAGTTAAAATGTGAAAATTTGTTATCAAAAAGTACATTGCCTATGGCAAATTCGTTTTTTCGGCGCTTTTTCATTTCGAATAAATTTGCGTACTCAATATTTTCGTTAAAATATGTAGAACATTGTTACTCGCGAGGTGTCTGAGAAACTCCGTTAAATTTAACGTAAGTAATTAATTTATATAATTATAAAATTAATTAGATAAAAGTAAAAATAAAATATATTAATTTCTGTTTATTTTATAAAAATGTTAAAAAATATATTCATCATCAGTAATATCATTTATTTCTGATTGTTTGTATGATTCCATTGCTAATGTTCGTAAAATCTCTGCATCCGGTTCATTTAATTTCAATATATAAATTTTAATTATTAAAACTTACTCTGTTTAAAAAAAAAGTAAAGTAAAATATTATAAAACTATTACACGCGTGGCATCTGATAGATTCTGCTAATAATATTTTAATTCTTCAACGTATTACTCGGCGTGATGTGCTTTTACAAGACTTCAGTTAGTACATAGGTCGTAGTTGTTTCATCTATCAAGTTTTGGTTGGTTTAAACGCTCTGGTGTTTAATAGACTCCGAACTAGTAACGGAGGGTAATATAATAGAATTGATCTTAAACGTAAATTAACAATTATACCTTTTTTTAGGTAATAATGATGAACTATGCATAATAATGAAAAATGCATCAACTATTATTAATATTTTTTAACATTAGGTGTTATTCTAGATTACTAAGTACATCATGCTGATAAAGTTCAAGTACCTTTTCGAGCGTTATACATATTTAAAATTGAGTTTAATAAGTATTTAATATTCAACAGTTGTTTAATTAAGGCGAATTCAGAAATGTTTTATACAAAAAAATGATTATAATGAAATAATTCATTTTCATTTCTGGTTTGTTGTTACGAGAATGATTTCCATGCATTGTCAATGAAAAGTTTGCGATGAGTTTATTGTTATAAGAACAAAGAGAAATTTCTCACTCACGTTGGAGGATTTACAGGCGGAAACTCTGCGAACATTTTACAATGTTATAAACGCATTGTTTTCGTTCCACGTAATTTTAAGTTGGTTTAGTTAGAAAGTTCAAAATATTCCGCTCACTTTTTTTAATATTAATTTTTGCTTCAGTTAGATGCACAACAAATGTGTACGATATATAAAAAAAAATCAACAAGTATATTTATACTTTTTCAATGAAATTCAATATGAAAATTGCAAGTAAGTATTAATCAAAATCACATAATGGAATTAATTAATTAGTAGTATTCATGGAAATGTTGGAATGATTATTAATTATGTAATTCAGATACTCCGACAATATAAAAATCTGATTATTCCAATTGAATATTATTGCAAGAACTGCTAAAACGGAGTAGTTAAAATAATATTATTCGTAGCATACCATTTCCAATTTTTCTTATAGTGATTTGGCTTTGAGTGTTTCAAAACTAAAATAATAATACAAAAGCGCGTACAAAATTAAGTTAGCTTCTTAGTATAAGATGTTTCATGAAACTTATTTATACCTTGTTTATTCGTCTCGGTGAATCTACTTTAAAATCAATCTGAGTAAAATCTTCATCCACTTCAGCTCGTCAATCATTTGCCTTGCCGCACGCATGAAGAGTAAAGTAATCCTGATGAAATAACAAGGCACTTCTGCAAAGTTACTTCAAAGATTGGCAAACATAAAATCCGTGTCCTTTCCATTGCCGACGCTTTTCATAAACAGCATTTACGTTATGAAATTC